AGATCCCTGAGGATCCCAGACACCCAGGGATCTCAGATCCCTGAGGATCCCAGACACCCAGGGATCTCAGATCCCTGAGGATCCCAGACACCCAGCTTTAAGTATAAGGAACTAGTAGTAGGTTTATTCCATGCTAAAAAGAGAAGAGATAAAACACAACATTTCGGCTGTGAATAAACCTATTACTTGCAGAATACGCATGCCGACGCAGCTGCCCACCTGAACTGGTTTAAATATAAGGGCCCATTTCATTCCCCGCTGAAGTGCTGCTCCTCTTGGGGGGCCCAGCAGCCCTGCTGCCCAGCAGATCAGGGGGAGGGGTGAGAAACTGCAGCGCCAATTGAATCAAGGGGGGGGGGGGACAAAGCGTGCAAGCGCCACCTACTGGTCCACCAGCACCACTTCCCGTAATAATTGAGCTTTCCTCAGTAGTTTCTCATCCCAGGTCAGGCTCACGTTTTCCTTAGCTCCTGATCAGACTGCAAGCTAGGAGCACTGGACTTCACAGGTATGAGAACGTAAGACAGGCTACAAAGCGGCTTAGTCTGAGTGCTGTCATCATGCAGCCTTTCTCGAGATCTAGGAAATTATTTGGGCAAATTAGAGAAAAAAGTGCAGGAAAATGAGCCCCAGACCTGTGAAGTCTCGGCAGGGGAATATGTCCTCGTGATCTGTGTTGTCCAGATGGTGGTGAGTAACATCCTAGTATAGACAAGCACCTCAATCCCTGACACCCCAGCAGCTCCTCCCCCACCTCCCCAGACAAGAAGAGGAAATCGGCTCACGGGTTTTCAAAAGTCGCCCGGTTCACACCACTGTTCGGCCAGCCTGAAACCCAGACATCTCCCTTTCCTGCTCCCAGATCAGTGTGCTGCAGTCAGAGCTGGAGACCCTGTCGACCCAGACAGCCTCCCTCAGAGAAGAGACGCGCTTGCTGAGGGAGCAGATCCAGGTGAGGTCAGATGGGGGGGGGGGGCATGTGCGTGTGTGGAGGGGCGTGAAACCAGACAGATAATAGGGATGGAGAGAGGTGGTGGTGGAGGAATAGACATAAGTGTGTTTGTGCCTCCTCTCTTTTGTGCTTGGCATTGTGTTGTTGTTGCATTATCTGTAAGTCAAGTTCACATTGCCACTTTCAGAAGCACATAGAATGGATACATTCTGAAACATAATCTATGGAGATGGAGCACAGTTGGTGCTGGTGAAGTTTAAAGGAGAACTGCAATGTTATTTTTATAGTTCGGGGTTAGAAGGAATCAGCATCGATGAGTGCATTACAAACCACAATGAAAGTAAATGTACACAGCATCGTGTAAAACTTCCAATTTACATCACAAAATAGACCAGATTTCCAGGGATGCACAGCATCATGTTCTGCGAGTCAGAATGAGGCAACAAAACTTCCAGTGAAGTGAAGCAGCCATATTACACTGTAAACAAGCAGGTTTGTGAATACATCTCCTCCAATCCAATAGAAATATTGCCCTCGACTTCCTCGACCATCCACCCATTTTCTGACCACTTCATCCAATTTAGGGTTGTGGGGAGCTGGAGGCTATCTCAGCAAGCAATGGCCACACGAGAGCTGAATCCTGTCAATCCATTAATTACTGAACTGAGCCTTAATTGCCTAATTACCCCAGATGGTAAAGACCACTACACTATTTAAAGATTTGAGACTAAGGCTTGCAATAGAATGGAATAAAGCAAAAGTTGTCTTTAGAATAATACACCCCTGTAAAGTTTTATTAAGGAAAGACACACCACCTGTGCCAGTTCTGTCTGCTGTCTATTGTGGGTGGGGAGGTCTTTATGACCAGGATCTGCCTCTGTACCCTGTATCAATGTTCAGGGGAGGGGAGAAGGGGGAGTCTATGGACAGGGGTTTCTCCTGTAAAACAAGAGACCAGACCCTTTGGGTTTCAAGTGGCTGAGGAGCAGTCTGAAACTGGCGCATGTGAGAGAGATCAGCACTGCAGCTCGGCTGCTGTGTCCCTCACCGCTGTTTGTGGGCTGAGCTGGGCTGAGCTGCAGCAAGTCTTGGCAGTGTGAAGGAGATGCCCTGGCACTGCACAACGGAGATAATAAAGATAACGAAGGGGAAAAGGGCATCCTGCCCGTGAGACTCGCTCTTAATCCTGGTTACTGATTGATCCCAGGAGCTCATCACAGTATTCCTTAGAAAATCCCAGATGAGTCCAGTTTAGCATTCACTGTGCTGGGAATTCGCTGGTAGCCCACACCCACCCACGCACTCCCTCTTCTTCTTTTCCTCTTCCTCCCTCTCCCTCTCCCTCTCCCTCTCCCTCTCCTTCTCTCTTCCTTTCCCTCCCCTCTCCCTCCCTTGCCTTCTCTCTTTCACCACTCCTCTTTGAGAATTAGAGCCTGCCATTTTGGCTGCACAGTGGTACAGTCGCACAGTGCGTTGCTGTCTTGTGGCAATGGGGCCCCGGGTTCAATTCCGGACCTGGGATGGTGCTGTCTGTGTGGAGTTTGCATGTTCTCACCGTGTTTGCATGGGTTTCCTTTGAGTGTTCCAGTTTCCTACTGTAGTCCATGCTGGTAGGTTAATTGGCTTCTGGGGAAATTGGCCCTGGTGTGAGTGTGTGCCTGCCTGTGTCTGTTCTGCAGTAGACTGACGTCCCGCCCAGGGTGTATCCTGCCTTGCACTTGCTGCTTGCTGGGATAGGCTCTGGCTCAGGCTCCTGCCCTGTACTGGGTAAAGCATTTAGAAATGGATGCATATTTTGGCTCTCCGGATATCTCTCTGTGCTTTTTTGAGATTGGGGTTACATTGCAAGAATAAGCTGTTTGGGGAGCCTGCATATTTACCTTTAAGCAGCTTATTTATTGATGAACTCCTGGGAGATTGCTTCAGCAATACGTCAGGTGATTTGTGACAGACATCCACACCTCCTGGCGTAAAGATGTGCCTCCTGTGTTTAGTACCAATAGCAAGCGTCCTTTAAGCGGTAACTGGGAAAGCCTCAGAATGGCAAAATGCTTTTTTTTCTTCACTTAATCCCAGCTGGAATTTCCCTCTCTTTGCAAGGACGTCAGGAAACAGCATCGGGACATAGTTTCAGTGTACAGGACTCACCTGCTGAGCGCAGCACAGGTAATGTCCATAAAGATACATGTTCTCTCACAGGCAGACACATAAATGCATTTAGTGACTAAGCCTGCTGTAGACGTAATGCATTGGTCACCCCCAGTTTCTCAACAAAATAATAACCCAAACCTGGACAATCGTTGATTCCCCAGGACAATTCCTGGTTCTGCAGAGCCACACTCCAGAGCATTTTAATTGGCCACCTTACAAAGACCTGGAGATCATGTAATTGTTTTATCTATATATAGCAAATAATCCATGCGATGAGTCAGTAATTTGTTATGGGCAAGCTGGAAACCTTCGGGTAAGGAAAAAACGTTTTTTTTCCAAATCATCCCTCAATTAAGCATCTTTATTTTACAGATTCAAGCTATTTGTTCCACATCTTTAGGACGTTTCAACATTTCAGCGCGTGATCTGTGAATCCTGCTGCCACTCTGGCACTTAACGGAACAGACAGCTCCCACAGCGCCACCCAGTGGTGGGCAACAGTAATAGCCTTTCTTCTTCTGCAGGGAATGATGGACGAGGAGGTCTACTCCATGCTTCTGTGCATCCATGGCATGCAGAGAGAGGCTGTGTGCTGAGAGACTGACACCATCCCCACTCCCACAATGCACTCCTCCAAGTCAGAGCCCACACTTCCCCTTGACCAATAAGGACTGTGGAAGACAGCAGACGTGCATGGAGAGGGTACTGTGATTGATGGACACTGTGGTCTAAGACAGCAGCATATGAAGGCACCCAGATCCCTGTATATGAAGCAGTCCTGACTGATCACTGTTACCATGTTTTTCTCCATATCAAACTGAAGCCTGTTCACTGTTGTCTCTGGTTTCTCCTTACACTGTGACATAACCACAAAAAGTGCTGAAATGTTTGTTCTTCAGATTAAATGTCTCACTCTGATTGGGGGTGATTGCACTTTGTTTTTCACATAATCTAACACTGCTCCAAACTTTTACGTTTTTTGCACGTTTATCCATTTCCGTAAAATAATTTAAAATTGCTTTGGATCAAGTGCATTCTCATATGTTGGCTTCAGGCGTGTTACCCCAGCATTGTGACCAAATTCCCCCCCTGGCCCTTACCAATCACACCCTCCTAATAACCCCCCTCTCTGAACTGGCTTCTTCACTCTGCTCTCCTCCCCACTGAGAGCTGGTGTGTGGGGAGCGGACTGGCACATCATCCAGGTGGGGCTCCACACTGGTGCTGGTGGAGAGGATCCCCATTACATGCAAACTCCATACAGACAGCACTCCAGGTCTGCCTATGGCTCGACTGGTAATCTCTATAAGAACATAATACATCAATCCTCTCTGATTCAGATGAAAAGATGCCTGTCTATATACATACTGTAAGCGCTGGCCCTAAAGTAAAGTAAAGTGCTTTGAGTGGAGTGTCCAGAGCTGTTTGAGAAAAGCACTACATTACTACTGCTGATGTCTGCCGTTGTGCTCTGCTGCCAACTGCTTGCTTGTCTTGTAAAACACACTCAACTGGTTGTTTGATGGAGACATCAAAGATCAATCACCAATTTGAAGTTATAAAAGGGTGGATTATGATGCAAGAGTGCTGTGCTCCATGCCCTTGACTTCATAGTTCTGGTAACAGAGGTCACCTCCAACCGATAATGTATTTGCTACAAATGAAAGAAAATACATTCTGATTGTGATTGCACTGGATAGTTACATCTCATTTCCTATCAGCAACATATCCCAGCTGCCCCTGTCATGGGTTCACTGTGGCCAGGGGGTGTGTGTCTTCAATGCCCTGGTGTGATTAGCTGGCCAGGGGGTGTGTGTCTTCAAGGCCCTGGTGTGATTGGCTGGCCCGGGAGACGCGTCTTCAATACCCTGGTGTGATTGGCTGGCCAGGGGGTGTGTCTTCAATGCCCTGGTGTGATTGGCTGGCCAAGAAGTGCTTTTCAGTCAATTTCAATCAGTCAATGATTGGCTACCCAATATACTGTCAATCACAGTCTAGGCATTTGTCATTTGTCACTTGTCACTACTTTGAGCCCTCATATTAATCCTCATAAGAATTTGCTCCCTTAGACAAAATTCCCTTTTACTATTAAAGTGTAGTTTCACATGTTCCAATAGGAACAAGTGAAGGTTTATTCCATGCGGGAAAGAAAAGAGACACAACGTTTTGGCTGCAGAGCATTCTTCGGGCATCTTGTGGACACAAAGAAGGCTCCACAGCTGTAACGTTGTGTCTGTTTTCTTTCTAGCATGGACTAAACCTTTACTTGTTCCTTTGCAGCCTACGCATGCTGACGCAGCCAGGTACTTACAGGGGTACTCAGCCCAGGTCTTGGGGAGCCCTGGTCCAGTCAGTCTGATAGGTCACCTGTTTCTTAAATCTAGCAACTCCTGTGAGCTACTGATGAATCAAGCAAGCTGTCTGTTCATTTGAGAGAACTCGGGTCCTTGAGGCCTGAGGATTATGAGGTTTTTCATTTTAAATGACCTATAAATGACTTAATTTAACTGGGGCTCTTCAGGACCAGTACCCAGACACTCCTGACAGAGGGTATCAGCTCTGAATACAGCTGGGAGGTTGTTGTAGACTCCGCAGCCCCGCCTGTAAAAAGATTAAAGTGCCCGCTGTCCTCCTTTTTAAATGTATTTTCCTCTCATTCCGAAGAAGCCCAGAGATCATCTCTGCATTAACATGAGCGTGCGAGTAGACGCTGAGTCCAGCACGGCTCCGGGTCGCTGTGAGACTCAGCTGGACAGTCAATGGACGCCGGCCGGGAATGTCCAGTATGAGCTGCTGTTCATTTAACTCGTCTATTCCCCAGGCGGACGGCAGAGGTCGCTGTTTCCTACACGAATCCCTTATCGCCGACAGGAACCAGGAAGCCACGCCGAATTGGTTCCTGTGCGTTGAGCCCGAGTGCAAATTTCTTCTGTAACTCCTGAGGAATTAACGCAGCAGAAGAGGGGGGTGTCAATGGATTATTCGGGAAAACGTGACCTCCCATCCCGAATTAGAGCGTCTAGAAATGTGGTCTGTCCAAATGTGTGCTGCAGAATATTTGTTTTTGCACGGCATTTAAAATAGCGCCTTGCTAGCCGACGTGATCGTATGAGGTCTGCAATGAGCACATTCGTAGCACTCAGCCCTCTTCTGAAGTAAGGGCTGGTGTTATTTACAATATCAGAGAGTTATTCTGGGAATTGCGACGATACATCACAGGCGTTTGGCAAAAATATCGGTGCATTTGGGGTTTGGGGGCGCTGCGGGATAGCACCGGGGCAGTCTTCACTGGAGCCTCCGTGTGGCGGTTTGCGTTCACACTTGTATTGGACCCACCGGTAGGTTCCGGACTCATTCTGCTGGGTCCCAGAAGCAGGAATTTGCAGTGCAGCGGTGGGGTTCTGTTCGGCAGCCGGGACCGAATCTGTTGTGATCTCCTGGGCCGGGAAAAACACGTGTTGTGCTGCCAGCAGGGGGCGATGGCGAGCGCGAAGAGAGTCCTGGTCTACCTGGCGGAAGGGAACCGCCTGCCCCAGTGCGCCCGGTTCGTTCAGGTGTGTAACCCCGGGCGCCTCGGGTCATTCCTGCAAAACTGCTGCGGTGCACATCTCGGCATAGACGATTAGAAGGCTGGGCTCAACTGTAATTAAACGTGAGGATTCAGGAAGATGTGTAAAAAGATGGTTGGAGCCAATTAATTGAGGGTAAATTTTTAGGACAAAAATATGGTACCGCTTGCAAATGCTCCCTATTTCTCCAATTCCCCCCCTTCTCCCTTCTGTAATGTTCCCTTTCTCTCCTCCTCGTGTCTCCCAGAGCATCACGGGCGCGCTCTCGGGTTGCCATGCCGACCAGGTGGAGGTGAGCTGCTCTCTGGAGGGCCAGCACTTCGTGCTGTCGGCGGGGGAGAGAGAGGGGGCCAGCCGGGTCCTTCTCCGGGTCAGTGGCTCTCCCGCCTTTGGGTCGGGGACAGAGAAGGAAATCAGGCTAACAGACCGTCCTTTTCCCTCTTAATGACACTCGGAGAGCGAAGCCCAGTTCAAGGGCTGGGATGCCGAATGAGGAAAGGAGTCGCCCGGTTAGTAAGCAGTGTTTGGGTCAAACTGTAGATTTCCAGATCTGGGTCGTCTTCTGGCAGAAAGAGCAGCTGTCAGGCCCTTGATCGATGAGCATTGTGCTGTATAAAAGTGTGAGCGAAACAGATTCACCAGCCCAGTGTGGACAAGGAGCTCTTCCCAGCTGTGCTCTGTGTCATTATCTTGGCCCAATCCAACGCTATCCATCCTTAAGAATAGCAGTTTGACGTGGATGGCTTGATTGGGAAAGCTGGACAGCAAATACAAAAGAAAATCAAGGAATAAAGCTCATCGATTGATCATTGTGAGCACACTTCTGTATTTTCCAAAAGACGACAGCTACACTGGGCGGCACGTAGAAAGGGTGGGAGGTCTCACGCACACACTTGTGCAGAAGAAAGGAATCAGGGGTCTGATTCAACAGGTTTTTAAGAAAAGGCAAAGACATCTGTTTACCTTGTTGTTCGGAACCCCAGATCTGAATATCCAAATATGAACATAAGTTTACAAATGAGATCTGGCCCATCTAGTAGTTAGCAGTTAATTGATCCCAGGATCTCATCCAGATGTTTCCTGGGGTAAGCCAGGATATCAGCTTCTTCAACATGGCTGGCCTGCTTGTTCCACACTCCCCCCACCCTTTGCGTAAAGTGGTGCCTCCTGCTCTTGGTTTTAAACGTACTTCCACTTAAAACTGAGACCAGGTGGCACTTCTTTACACAAAGGGTTGTGGGAGCATGCAACAGATGCCCTCTTTCTCTCCAGAGAGCTCCGTTCTGCCCCTTCAAGCGCCTCTCCGCCACCGAGGCCGCATCCCTCCCGTCGGATGTCCAGGCCCGGGGGGTGGACGTGGGCGTGGCCGTCCTGCTGCAGACTGCCGATCGGAAGACCCTGCTGACCCGGCGGGCAGCCCCTCTTACCATCTTCCCCAACATCTGGGTGCCCCCAGGTAGGGAACAGCATGGCACAGCTGGCACAGACTGACTGCCCCCTACTGTTTCAGCATCTGCCCCCTGCTGGCTGCAAGCAGGAATGGCATATATATAAGAGCTTCTCATCTGCAGTGGGAGCATCCCCTTCTGGGCAGGGAGGTTGTGAGTTTGTGTCTTGCGTGGAAACTGTGCGATCCTTCCAGCTCGTGCTCGTATACTGTTCGCTACACCTAATATCAAAAACAAAATCCACACACTGTAACAATCAGAAGAAAAACCAGGAGGAGGGGTGCCCCTGTGCCCAGCTGGACTGAGCGCTGTTCTCTCTGTCTTTCAGGCGGCCATGTGGAGCTGGGTGAGAAGGTAAAGGCTTTTGTGTGTGATC